ACATACTTTTGATAAAGCACAATAGGATAGCATAATAACTGATGTATACCGTATACATGACAGTGTGTGACCTGTGTAATATGATCACACTGTACAAACACATCCTTTGATAAAGCCCACTAAGATAGCATAATAACTGATGTATACCGTATACATGACAGTGTGTGACCTGTGTAATATCATCACACTGAACAAACACATAAGTTTGATAAAGCGGACTAAGATACCATATAAATGAAGTGTACCGTATACATGACAGTGTGTGACCTGTGTAATACCATCACACTATACAAGCACATACTTTTGATAAAGCGGACTAAGATAGCATAACAACTGATGTATACCGTATACATGACAGTGTGTGACCTGTTTTACATCATCACACTGTACAAACACATTCTTTTGATAAAGTGGACTAAGATACCATACAACTGATATATACCGTATACATGACAGTGTGTGACCTGTGTAATGCCATCACACTGTACCAAAATATACTTTTCATAAAGCGGACAAAGATAGCATAACAACTGATGTATGCTGTATAATGACAGTGTGTGACCTGTGTAATATCATCACACTGTGCAAACACATACTTATGATAAAGCGGACTAAGATACCATATAACTGATGTATACTGTATACATGACAGTGTGTGACCTGTGTAACATGATCACACTGTACAAACACATACTTTTGTTAAAGCGGACTAAGATAGCATAATAACTGATGTATACCGTATACATGACAGTGTGTTACCTGTGTAATATCATCACACTGTACAAACACATACTTTTGATAAAGCGGACGAAGCTAGCATAATAACTGAAGTAAACCGTATACATGACAGTGTGTGACCAATGTAATATCATCACATTTTACAAACATATACTTTTGATAAAAGGGACTAAGATAACATAATAACTGATGTATACCGTATACATGACAGTGTGTGACCTGTGTAATATCATCACACTGTACAAACACATACTTTTGATAAAGCAGAATAAGATAGCATAACAACTGATGTATACCGTATACATTACAGTGTGTGACCTGTGTAATATCATCACTCTGTACAAACACATACTTTTGATAAAGCGGACTAAGATACCATACAACTGATGTATACCGTATACATGACAGTGTGTGACCTGTGTAATATCATCACACTGTGCATCATTTACTTTTGATGAAGCGGACTAAGATACCATACAACTGATGTATACCGTATACATGACAGTGTGTGACTTGTGTAATATCATCACTGTGGGTTTCAGCTGGGGATTGCAGCTGTGGGTTTCAGTTGTGTGTTGAAGCTGTGGGTTTCAGTTGTGTGTTGAAGCTGTGGGTTTCAGTTGTGTGTTGAAGCTGTGGGTTTCAGTTGTGGGTTGAAGGTGTTGGTTTTAGTTGTGGGTTCAAGCTGTGGGTTTCAGTTGTGGGTTCAAGCTGTGGGTTTCAGTTGTCCCTCCAGCTACACAACTAAGTCTCGCAACAACCACCACCACCCTACCTCTCCCCCACCCTCCCTCCAGCTACACAACCAAGTCTCGCAACAACCACCACAACCCTACCTCTCCCCTTCTACCCCTACCCTCCCTCCAGCTACACAACCAAGTCTCGCAACAACCACCACCAACCTACCTCTCCCCTTCTCTCCCCATCCTCCCTCCACCTACACAACCAAGTCTTGCAACAACCACCACCAACCTACCTCAGCCCCCTTTTTCCCTCCAGCTACACAACCAAGTCTCGCAACAAGCACCACCACCACCACCCTACCTCTCCCCTTCTCCCCCCACCTCTCTCAAGCTACACAACCAAGTCTCGCAACAACGACCACCACCCTCCTTCCAGCTACACAACCTTGATCAACCCTTGATCACACACTAAGCATTATCCAATACTATTATTTTATTTTGTGATGAATTTAACTGGATCATCCGTAACATGAGATATTAATTATCCATCGATATCTTTCCTCGTTGGTCTATCTACGTCTGCAAAATAAAAATAAAATCCAACAGGAGCCCAGAACAATTCTTAATTTCAGTGTAGAGCTGAGGCAATCTACACTTTCCCAATGATTCTTAACTCGAGTTGGACTCCTTTTTTTCTAGGATGACATGTAACACAATACAAAGTCCACTTGTGATGCTTGTGAACACATGATTGGGAAGACGACTTGTTGCTACAAAATGGTGCCAAGATCTTGCAAATTCTGTGGTTGGTTCTGGAGAGTGCGCAGACTTCTGCCAAGGGCATCCCAGACGTGTTCGATGGGATTGAGGTCGGGAGACCTTGACGGCCAGTCCATGACGTTGGCTCCTGCATTCTGAAGGAAATTCCTTGTCACAATTGCTGTGTGGGGTCTGGCATTGTCGTGTTGGAAGATCAAACCGGGTCCATGTGATGCCATAAAAGGCAGAAGTTCTGGTGCCAGTACCTGGTCGCGGTAAGCAGCAGCGTTGAGGTTGGCACGGATGACAAGAAGCCTGGAACGTGCATTGCCACAGAAAGCACCCCGCCACATGACAATTCAGCCTCGAAATCTATCCACTTCCTGTTCACAATACTGGACCTAA